CTTAGAAAGTTATGGCATAAATATCACTTCAGCTTCTGTGTTTTTCTAACAATTAACTGCAGAGGTAAATTCAGGTGACAGGTAGGTGTGCATTTCCACTAGCCTCCAGTGCTAGCTGGTGGTCGCAGCTCTGCTTTGTTCGGTAGGTAGGAGCTCCCAGAGGCTGGGTGACCTGATGGACATCTGCATCAGCACTGGTTAGCTCTGGTCATGCCTAACCTCTGTGGCCCAGCTGGGGCTTGAATGCCAAATACGGGTCAGGGTCCCAAGCCTCCACGTGGGGCAAAGGCACAGGTTCAACTGAGGATATCAAAGCAGAGGGAGGCCAAACTCAAGGGAAGGTCAGGGCTGGGCTTTAGCTTTGCCTTCCCCTTCTCCGTGCCGGCAGTGGACATGGGTCTGGGGTCGCCCACCTCTCCTCCCCAGAGCAGAGGCATCCTGTGGGATCCCCGCAGCCCCCCAGAGGTGCACGACACTCCCCGGCCCCAGTGATGCTCCTCAGGGGTAGCAAAGACTGGGGTGTGAGGCTGGTCTGCTGGTGACAGCATGGGACAGGAGTAAGGGATTTTAGTGAAACGGGAGCCAGAGTGCTAGGAAAGGAAGAGGAATTAATCCCCCTTTTTGCCACAGGTGGGCACACAGCTATCTACCAGCGTGTAGAGGAACTTCTATGCTGCTCCTCTGACGAACTCACAGAAGGCCCTGGCTCACTTGGCCCCAAGTAATTTGTTTTCCACTGAGCACAGCAAAAATCGTAGGGACAGGTGGGCCAGGTGCACGTGTGCATGTGTGTGCATGGGCACATATTTGTGTGCATGTGGTGGGTGTGTGAGCATGCACGTGCTGGTGGGCGTGTGGGTGCATGTGGGGGTGTGTGTGCATGGATGTGGAGAGTGGGTGAGCATGCACGTGTGCATATGCAGTGGGTGCATGTGTGGGGCTGTGTTCACGGATGTGGCTGTGTTCTCATGCACGCATACCTGTGGGTGTAAGGGTTCATGCATGTGTGACTGTATATAGGTGTTTGTAAGTATGCATGTATGCATGTGTGCATGTGTGTGTTTGTGTGTGTGTGTGTGTGTGTGTAAACACCAAAATCAAATTTGCAGTTGTCTCTAGACAAAGGAGATTAGATCTCTCGGTGTGCCCGTGGGTGTGAAGAGAAAAGAGGAGCAAAAGTAGACCGTGTTTTTCATAAAAAGGTGAAAAATAGGTAAAAGCAAGAAGCTAGGCTGGAGAAGAAGATGTCTGTGTGCGTAAACTGGGGCAGAGGACACGGCATAACTGGTGTGATTGGGAGCTGGTTAAATAAGACATCAGCAACTATATTGAGTATACCAGGAGTGGACTTTACTAAGGCCTGGGAGTACAAAAGAGGAGAATGACATCAGTGAAGAAAAATGAATAAGGCAGCAGTTCAGCGTTAGGACCTCAGGCCACTGAGCACACCCATGACGTGCTTCTGGTGCTGAGAGGTGCATTACAGGGTGGAGGAGCAGAGCAGGGTTTCTTTGTGAATGCATCCATTAAATGACCACAGCTTTTTTGTGGGCTGCGTGCATGCCTGAGTTTCCTTCTGCAACAGGAAAGGGTGCTTGGGCAGGTTTAAGTAAAGATGGAAAGTTGGTCTAGGGATGTTGTGCTCATGGTCCTGTCCAGAAAGAAGACCAAGGCTAGGGAAGGTCAGTGCTAGAAAAGGGGCTTGTAAAGAGGCTGTTCAGACATCACATTAGTACCAACACGGAAAAATGAAGAGGAAACCTAAACAGCACATGCTGGGAGCACAGCAACAGAGAGTGTTTGGGCAAGTGTCAAAGCCTAAATGGGGACAGACAGTACCTCGGGTTGGTTGCTGGAAATGAACCTAAGATAGCACACCTCAAAACAGTTTCCGTCTGCAGAATGCTTTTTGGATGGACATCTGCTTTCCCAAGGGCTGTTTGTCTTTCGTGGGGTGCACCTGCCCTGCAGCATGGGAATATCCTTACGTATCCCTTACCCGCTGCAAATGGCAGCATCCCAGCACATCTCATGGGGGCCGCAGAGGGTGATATGACCCTCCCCACAGTGTTTTTATCACTCGTATCCTCTCCCTGCATACTGAGGCTGAGCCCGGTTGAGCCAATGGACCCTAAGCATCTCCATAGTCCCTGGGAGAGCAACGCCATGCCCCTGGCTGAGGGCTGCTGGCAGGGCACGCGTCCGCTGCAGAAGGTGTTCAAGTATCATCAGTGCTGGAGGCAGCGGCTGTTTGGTTAGAGGACTGCACTTTGCATGGCAAACGGGCTCTGCAGCTCATACTCTCTGGATCTCGGCTTCACCCTCTGAACCCAGGACACCCGGGCACTTCCCTGCACCAGGCACAGGCTGCTACAGCAGTTTGGCTGCTGGGAAGTTCTCGCCAGCACACGCAGCGTTAACAGCAACGCCGAGAGAAGCGGAGATTTCCAGCTGCTGCCGCCAGCCGCGCGGGGCTGTGCAATTCTGCGCTATAAACGCGGGGTGGGCGCGCACGGCACGGCGGCTGCAGCAGGGTTAACGCGCAAGCATCCTTCCCGGGGCCTTTTGCACCGTCTGCAGCTGCCTGAATAAGGTGAGTTCGCCAGAGGCCTTTCTAGAGAGTCTGAACATCGCCTGCTTGGGTGTGCCTTGGCCAAAAACAAACCCCTTAGTCCTAGTTCAACCGAAATAGACATCATTTGGCATTTTCCTTTTTTTTTTTTTCCTAATTAGTCCCTCCCTCCTCCTTTTTGGCAAGCTAGGAAATCTCAATTCAACTTCCCTCTCCTGTAAAAGGTCTGGTTTCATTTTCAACATTTACCTCTCTCTTTTTTTTTCTTTTCACTCTTCTTTTCTCTTTTAGTTCTTCTCATTATGACAGCAAATGACATTTAAAGTTAAACTCCCGGCAGCTGTGTTTCAGCTGTGTCCCAGTGGAGCGTTCTCGCAGGTCAGAGGCAGCTCTCTGTTCTGAAAATGCCACAGAGACCTCCCACTGGTTCAAAATCCCTCCTTTCCTGTTCCCGCTTCCCGTGCACAGTGACCCTAAGCAATGCGTTTGAGCCCTTTCCCAAATCCTCAGGTCCTCCAGGATATACTGCTGTCACACTAAGAGGCTGTCTCAGCAGCATCTTACCGTTCCCATTTCCAAAGAGACAGCCAGTAACGGGGTCCTTTCCCCAGCCAAGATAACAAATGTGTGGTCCAAGGGAAGAGAAAGGCTTGTAATAGCGGAGGAATGACAAATTCTGGAGTAAGTCTGGGCTCCCCTTACATCCTCAGCTTGCACGGGTTTTACGTCTGCAATGCTCCTTTGGAGCTTTGCTCCAGTGCTCCACATGAGGTCCGAACCGGGCTGAGAGAGCTAATTGATTGAAAATAAAGCATTTGACCATATTTTAAATATGAGGCAGAGGGAAGCGCCCCTAGGTGAGGGTCCCCCAGCCTGTCGGGGCAGGCGCCGGCAGCATCTCCGGCCTCAGCACAGAGCGGACGCACGGCTCTGCCCCGGGGGCGACAGAAAGGAGGCGGCAGGAGGAGGGTGGCATGGGGGGTTTGGCAGGTCAGGGGGATTCAGATGCACCTCAGCACTGATCAGCTCGCGGGAGCCTGTGCCACTGCCTAGAGTTGGTGCAGGCGTGCTGCCGGCCTGGGTTGACGTTCGCAGGGAAGCGCCAGCGCTGCAGACCCCACGCTGCCCTCCGGCCAGCAGGCTGCAAAGGTGCAGCCTGAGCCCCTGCGGCTCCCCAGGAGCTGGCGGGCGGCCGGCTTTCCTCTTCGGCAGGACTGCTGCACACCGCCTGCGTTACTGCACCCTGCGTGGCTGGCGAGCACCTCTGGGCAGAGGACAATGAGCCCAAGCAGAGCTCGCTGCCGCTGGGGCACGTTAGGGAGGCTCTGCATCCCCACGCAGCCCCGCGTGGCGCGCAGAGGGGGGACACTCCAAGCTGGCGAGACTGCTCGGACAGTTACCCAAGCCTCACTGGGATACACACGTCCCCAAAAAAGACCCCACCTATCCCACTGTTAACAGCCATTCAATGTGTAGATGCTTCTGGGCTGTTTCCAGTTTTTTTCTCAGCCCCTAACACCTGGGTCAGGAATATTTGAAAGGAAATGCTGAGATGCGTCTGCTGGCCCCTAGCAAGGAGGCTTTGCTTTCTTGGCCGTAGCATACCCGCATACCCGTGGAGGGCATTAGACAGGGCTTTGCAAACCAAATCACGCTGAATGGATGCATCTCCTGGGTGGCTCAAACCCCATGTTCATAAGGGGCCAGGCACTGGAGTGCAAAGTGCTCCTCAAGCCGGGAAATAGGAGAGAAGTTACTGAAAAGAGCTGGGAGGGGGGAGGCCTTTGTACGGCTTTTGCTGAATCTTTTGCATTCCCACCAGCACCTCTGAAATTAGTGCCTAAGAAAGGGTGGCTGGGTCGCTTTGCAAATGTGGCATTGAGGTCACATCAGGAGAAATGGGTCAGGCATCGGGTGCTATTAGACATGCAATACTTCTGAACAAAGGTACTCACCTGGGTGGCTGAGTTAGGAACTGCCAGGAGCAGTCCTTTTGACCCTCTCCTTAAATAAATAATAATAAAAGGAGTCCTTTATAGTAAGGAGTGGTAGTTTTTCTCTTGTCTTCTTTGAAGAAATAGAGGCATGCAAAAATGGGAATGAAGGCAGCTTTTGGGGCACTAGCTATAGGGAGAAAAAAAAAATTGGCAAAAAAATGGCAGAAAACCACTTCTGCCCTGCTCTGTGAAACTTTTGCATTCTGGAAAGTGAAGAAACCTGGACTAGAAATGTTATGAACCTACCCCACTTAACAAAGTGCCTGAGCCTGCAATAAGAGTTGCCTTGGAAAGCCAAGATGTTCCTCCAGAGCTGAACCTGCTGGTTGTAGGGCAGGAGCGTGGCTTGGACAGTGCGTCTGCAGGCCATCACGCTCCTCCTCACTGTTCACATCTGCTTTCTGCAGTGCTGCCTCCCTTCATAGGAGACGATGCAGCTGGAGACGCAGCAGGTCACTGGTCCCGGTGCCAACATCAGCATCTTTCCCCCTCTCACCTTTCTCCTGACGGGCGTCCCGGGGCTTGAACACAGCCCCCACTGGCTGGCAGCACCCGTGTGCGCTCTGTACCTCTTGTCTGCTCTGGGGAATGGCACAGTCCTCTTTATCATACTGACCGAGCCGAGCCTCCACACCCCCATGTATCTACTCCTGCTCATGCTGGCTGTGGCAGACCTGGGCCTGTCCACCTCCGTCCTGCCAACAATGCTTGGGGTATTCCTGTCCGGCTCCGGAGAGGTCAGCTCCGATGCCTGCTTCTCTCAACTCTTCTTCATTCATGCTTTCTCCATCATAGAGTCCTCCGTGCTTCTGGCAATGGCCTTTGACCGCTTCGTGGCCATTTGCTACCCTCTGAGATACAACTCCATCCTAACCAATGCCAGGGTGCTCCAGATCAGCCTTGTGATTGCAATCCGGGCCATTGCTCTGCATGCCCCCCTCCCCTTCCTCCTCCAAAGACTGCCGTACCGCCAGACCAACATCCTATCCCACTCCTACTGTCTCCACCCCGATGTGATGAAACTGGCCCACGCTGGCTCCAGAGAGAGCACATACACTCTCTTCATCGTGCTCAGCACCATGGGCCTTGACCCGGTGCTCATTGTCTTGTCCTATGCCTGGATTCTGAGGAGCGTTCTGGGCCTCGTCTTGAGGGAAGAACGTGTCCAGGCGCTGAGCACGTGTCTCTCGCACATCTCCGTGGTACTGCTCTTCTACATCCCCATGCTGGCTTTGTCCCTCATCAACCATCTGGGCCTTCCTGTCCCTGCCATCGCTCACAGCCTCCTTTCCTTCCTCCACTTCCTCGTCCCGCCAGTCCTCAACCCCATGCTGTACTGCGTGAGAATGAAGGAGATAAGGGGACGGGTTGCCAGACGGTTCCTGCAGGCACAGGGCACCTGGGGGAGACACTGCAGGAGGAACCAGCCCAGCACAAAATTCACCACGCAAGAGACAGTGGGCAGCGGGGCAGGGGTGCATGGGCTGCTCTGACCTCTGACAGAGCACGAATGGGGGCACTGTGTTGCACAAGCCCCCTGGGCCCGTCTGTAGATGTTCAGCTTGGTGCATTCTGCAAAGGGATTAACTCTACCATTAGCAAAAATCACTTCAAGCAAACAAAGCATCTGACTGTCCACATTTGCAATGCCCTCCCATGGTCCAGCTTAGCTCCTTTCTCCTCTCCTGTGAGCAATCCGGACCAGAAGGAGGTTGAGATCTTCTTTTCAGGGCAGCTGCCCTGGTTGACTCAGGTGCCCACTCTGACATATGTCGCAGCTTGGTGTGCAGCAGAGCACAAGGCACAACCCCTTCGCAGGATGCGAGTGTGACCCACAGGTACACGGACCTGCAGGAGCCCCTGTTGCACCATGTGCCGCGTGCACATGGTGAGCACGTCCACTCATTTACAGTGGGCTTCACCAACTCCATGGGTCACTCCTCCGTGAATGCTTCCCATACCACATCAGGTGACATTTGCAGGGAGGAAGGTTGAAGTGCGTGAGAAAATAAAGGTGTGTTTTAACTGCAGTTGCTGCAAATCCTACTCTAGCTCCCGATGTGCTCCTGCAAATAAACAGCAGCAAACACCAAAGGAAAGTCACCTGGTTCCAGCGTGTCTCATCTGTGTGGATTCGTTGACCTCTAATCAACCACGGTTTGTTAGCTGTTCCCTCAATAAAGGAAAACAAATAGAAAATTTCACTTTCCCTAGCTCCTGGTTGTTACGAAACTTTTAGAAACAGAAGGTCTTAAAACGTCTGTCCTCCGGCCAAACTTGTCTGAATTTGGCCAATGCTTCAAAAGTCATGGGAAGCAAGGAAGGACGAGTAGACAGACACATCCATAATCACATAAATGCAGCCACTTAGAGAAACTGCTTATCACTCTTGTGCTGACATGGAAAGGAGCAGTCATTTGTAATATCCCCAAATGAATATTTAGGGTTTGAATATTAGATTTGTCACAAACTGGTAAACGTTGGAGTTGCTCAGTGGTCCAGCAGCCTGCACGTTCCCTGCAGCCAGTTCATGATTTCGTCAAATAACTGTGGTAACTGATAGCTCCCTTCAATCACTTTTTCCCTCTCAGTGTTGACAATTAGACATATTCAGATTTTTCTTTCAGTCACCTTTTATCTGCCTTAACTGCAGAGCAAATCAGATATGAGGGCTCCTAAATGGTCAGAATAAAGAAAGCACATAAAAGAATCACAAAGCGTTAGTTTTCTCTTAAGCTCCAAACGAACAATTTCTCAGTTTCTAGGCCAGCTGCATGACTTTAAGCATCCAGTTCATAATTTCTTACTTTTAGGACCAATGAAACTACACATCCCCTTCTTTTGACTAGTTCATTAAGGAATACCAGCTGACTACATCTGCCAGTTAACAAAATGTCAAAGGAGTGACAAGCAGACCTAGATCCCAGCTTCACAAGCTATCAAGCAGACACCCTTGGAATAGTCATCTCCTTAACAGTCTTTCATTAAGTACCCCAAACCTCATAATTTCTTCTGGCCCTCTCTGCCACCTGAAAGCCAAACACTGCTGGAATACCTTTGCTCTGCTGGTGGAGCTTAGTCCATCTGACCAATGTTTGCCCTGTGACAGTAAGTGCCCAGCACACACATCTCACGGGTAGCTCCTGCAAGGCCATCGAGAGCAGGATGGGCACTGCTGGTGTACCTGCTACAGCGGGAGCAGGAGGGTGAGCTCAGATCTCCTCGAGAAACTCTGAAGTGAGTAACTGCTCGACTGTCATTGCAGTAAGACGCAGGACATTTCATGCCTTCTTGGCCTAGACTGACAGACAGTATTGCTGTGTGTTGGATAAACAGATGCACCATTGCACTTTAGAGGTGACTATTTACAGTTCCACAGAAAACAACATTTTAAGAGGTTTTAAGAGATCCCATAATCCTCATCTTCATGGTATCGTGTATGTGACTGCTAACGTTGCAACAACCCATGGAAGTAGTTGGGACAGGCAGAGACATGTGCTTTGTAGCAGTAAAATTTTTTTTACATCTTCCTTACCACTGTCTTATGGCTAATTTATAGCAGGTGGAGCCAGACTGGAACCCTGGACAACATCCAAGGAAGAGAAAATTGTGCTCACATCTCATCTCAGACTCCACAGCTCAGAGCCAAGTCTCACATGTACAAAGCGGACACAAACTAGAAGTGTCTGACCTAGTATCCTGAGCTGAGACCTCCTTTATATCAAACAAGCCTGCTCCTTCCTTCCCAGCGAGAAGGGTTTGAATCAAGAAGTGTCTGTGCACAGGCAAGGCTTCTGCACCAGGCAGGAGGAGAGCCTGGATGGGAGCAAGCATGCTCTTTCTCCACTTTGCAATACCTCCTTGCAGGACTATCTGCTGAAGCCTCAGCCCAGATTTTTCCCTCGTGAAGCAGTTAAGCAAGGATGGAAAGTGCTTGCTTGAGCATGCAGAGGGGCCAGCGCCTCCCAGGGAGGTCACAGCATGGCCAGAAACAGGTCAGCCGCTGTCAGTCTCTTCACTGCTTTAGCACAGAGCTCACCATTTTACAGGTCTGAACACCAAGCACAGCAGTGGTGAGATTCAGCTCCATCATAAAACGAGACATCACCCAATGCTTTCACCTGCCCACCACTTGTGCTGCAGCAGGGCCCAGAAGCCCCACAGGGCTCCTTCCCCACTGTGGTAGTGCTGTACTTTTCTATGTCCCAGGATTATCAAAGTACCACCCCAGGGATGCTAGACTACAGCGTGAAGCACAGACACATGCCTCCAAACATGAAATGGTCCGTAATGTTCCCCCATAAACTTCTGTTCCAGTGCGCACCTCAAAATTCCTCAGTGCATTGCAATCTGCATTGTATTGCATATAGAAATAAATCAGAGAGGAATGAACACAGTTGCAAGGAGACAAACCCTTCCCGACATGGTCTGGATCTCTTTGCACCTTTCATAGAGGAACGTGCAAGGACACTGAGACAGCTGCATGTGTAGAGAAACACGGTCTGCCTCAGAGGCCAGTCTCACACATCTTCTCTAAGAAATGTTTGCCTTCTCAAAGGAGAGCATGGACAGTCGTGCCTGCAGATGGGCTCAGAGGTCCCTTCGCAGGACACTGCTGCTTGGCAGTGCAACGCGATGGACTGATCACGTCCATTTCACTGCAGATCCAGCGCTCTTCTCTCTGAAGCTGCTCCTCGACCCTGCTCTAAGGAAACGGCTCTAAGAAAACCTCCCTCTCTGGTCATATTTCTCCCATACCACAAACTTTAAACAGCCACAGTCCCAAAGACAAGGCAGACAAAAGCCCAAGAGCAGGAAGTAAATGGAACAGAAATCTTAGGCATGGAGGCAGGATACCCAGCTTGTGCTGCACAGCCCTGAGGAGTGCAGAGGTTTCTGAACTGGCTCCTGCAAGACCAACTGGTTCATAGCAGGACAGAGGCATGCCAGCAGCCAGGCTAGTAAGCCCAGCAAGGACACGCTCACAGCAGCGTGCTGCGCAGTGTGTGTTCACCAGCGCACGTCTCTGCTGCTGCAGGGATGTCTGCCTGGTACACCACTGCTGGCTATGACATGGTACAGGCATGACCCTACAGCCAAGGGTAAAGGTGGGGAGCACAATAGATGTTTTTTGTTCCTTTGTACGCTTGGTGCATGGGCAGGATCTGAATATCACAGCCCCAGGCCCAGCTGGAGTCAAGATAAGAGGTAATCTTACAAGCCAAGGCAAAACAATAGCCAAATCCACTGCCAAAGCGTGCTTACCTGGTCAAAGCGAGTGCCAAGCCCAGTGATGGATCCTGTTCCCCTGGGGCTGCGACTAAGAGGCTGAACTGTGATTTAGAGTGCTGCTTCGGTTCCCAAGGTACCGGCTGATCCCTGCAGAGCTGCACTATAAATCCTTTCCTGGTATGGCACTGGCAATTGCTTTCTCCAAGAAGGTTGCTCTGCTTGTTCCCTGTGCTGTGCGGACAGCTCTTCCTGCATATGGATGGAGAGCACAGGTAAACAAACAGGCAATTGTACCTGATTTCTAGCTGCATTTCAACCTCCAATTGTCATGGTGCAGTCACCTGAAGTGGTGCGATCAGTAGGATGGGTTATTTCCCCGCAGTGTTTAATGAATGTTATGTGTACCTTCTACCATTCGCTTTCCCCGTCTTTGGCACACCGGGCATAGCCACAGAAAGGCAGGGAAAGGCACTTAAGTACGTTACTGAAGCTAAGTCATTCCCTGGTGAAAAATGAATTGGGGCAGAAGAACAGAGGATCAGCATTTAGGACAACGAGACATATCCTAAAATTGTGCACTGCGGGGTCTTGCGGACAATAACTGTTGCCTGGAGAGACAGGTGAGCAGAGGCAGGGTGCTGTGTTATGCATTATTTGGGTTGGTCAGAGCTATGAGAACACACTATTTGACGATAGATAGAGTTTGGTGTCAACAAGTGCAAGGTCTGAGCTGTGGAAAGAAAACTTCATGCGCGTTTGTACTCAGTAATAAGGGACTCTCCAGTCTAGTAGACAGCGGTGTGCCAAGAAGCATAGGTGGGAAAGCGAATACAGGAAAATTTGAATGAGAAAAATGTGAATTTTTAGCAGCCAGAGAAATTACATGAGGGACAGAAAGAGTACGTGCTTTCTCAGCAAGGAGATGTTGCTGGGGCACAAATGGGGGAGTGCAGCCCAGCCAGGAGCAAACTCGGGTGGGAGATGTCATAATTTTTAAACATCTGCATGAAGAGGTCTGGAAACGACTGTACTCCGAGTAACAGGGCAAAAAGGGATGGTTCTGATTTGGAGCGCAGCTACTGGATGAACAGGGCTGGGTGACAGCAGGGGACTCTCTGTAACCTGTGAGACCCAGGAGTGAGTCTCAGCTTGCAGATTTCAGTGCACGTCCTGGCCGCATCTTAACCCCAGGCTAAAATGAGACCAAGGGCACTGTGTTCCCTCCCCACCTCGGTCCCACACCCAGCCTTGAGATGAAGTCTCTGGACAATGGCAAATACCCCACACTCTTAAGAAGTCATTCCTACTACTTTTTTTAAACATTATTTAAATCTTATTTGTCTTCACCCTAAGGATGAGGTTTTGTTTTATCTGTGGCTGCCTACTCAGCCATCACTTTCTGCCTGTGTAATATGTGCAGGCTGCAGATGAGTCATCACTTGACCTATTCTTAGATAAAATAGTCAGTTATTTAAGTTTTTCAACATAAACTATGTTTTCCAGCCCCAAAATTGTTTTGACTCCCTCTAAGTGTCCTCCAACTTCCTACTGATTTCTAGGAAGTACAACCACATGGGTCTTAACAGTGGTGAATTTCCAGTTTCTCAGGGCCAAAGCTGTGCGTTTGCTGTAGCCTCTCCCTACCTGCACAAACTTCTGTCCTCCCTGTTTACCCTTCCACAAAAGTTTGTGCCATCTGTGGATTCTGTCAGCAGTGATGTTATAATTTTCTTCCAACATGCTAACGGAAATGTTAGAACGGATCAGATTAAATCCCTGCAAAACCCCACTGGAAGCATCCCTACCTGACAATAATTCTTCCATCCATGTTCAACTCTTGAGACCTCACGTGTTGAAGAGTTCCATGGGATAATCTCATGCTGCACAAGCAATAGTTTCTCTCATCACTTTCACCTGAAAACGTAGAAGCAATGCTCTAGTGCTGTACCAGCCCGATGCAATAACTGTGAAATGGACCGATCATTGGCTAACCTTCCCGAGAACACTATCATGGGGGCAGGAAGGGTTCAGACATCTATACGGGTAGTGAAAACAGTATCAAAGTGACCTGGGATGGAGAAGAATCACGCAGTAATCTGCAAAGCAGCGAGCTTCAGCAGCTCTGTTCTGGCTGGACCATGAGCCTGATCCCAGTGCTCCTGTCTCTCCTCTGCTGCCAGCCCCACTCTGGACATCACAGCCCCTCAGTTAGGCCATTTCTTCCATGCTGGTCTCTTTGGGACAGGCTGCCACCTTGTGACTGCTGTGTCCCACCTCAGAGGCCCCAGCAGCTCCGGGGGCTGCGCTGCTGTGCCCTAGGGCTGCGATGTTGATCCCCATGGACTCACCCCCACCAAGGCTAAGATGTGCTTGCAGGACACCGGTGATCTAAACTGCTGCGGGGCCCCACATGCAACTGGGGTCATTGTTGCCAACGTTTAATTAGAAGAAAGAGGCAAGACCAGCCAAATAGTTTGAAATAAAGTTTTAGGGTTTTATTTTTACAATATTGCTCACGGCCTTTCAAGACATTGCAGGACAAACACACATACAGGAGGGTAAAGAACAGGAGAGGAAGGTGAGAAAAGAGCCTGTTCCTGGTGCTGACTCTGCCTTGCTGCCTCCTTGCTCAGGGGGCTCTGGCTGCTCAGAGGCCTGGCGGACCCTTACCAGCTGCTGCACTCTAGGACTTTGGCTGGCCTGGTTAAAAGAGGGTGGTGGAAGACGTGGTCTCAGCCAGGAAATTGGCGGTGGTGCTTTCTCTGGGTGAGTGAAGATGCTAAGGGACCAGGGACACCACAGCATCCTGGAAGGTGTCAGAACAGCAGATGTGTTGGGACATCTCTGTTTTCGGTCCACTGTTACCCAGCCCCGAGATTCTTCCCCAGATACTATTTTTCAGATTTCTCCCTACAAAAAGACTGGCTTTGCTACCTCACTTAGTGACTCTCTCAACCTCAAGACTTTGGTTGCTTGCGCCTAAAATAAGTTACGCATGGGAGCTGCCATAGGAAGTGGTCATTTCTCAGTACACAGTAACCCTGAGTAAGGAAAAAATGAAATGGGCAGGGGAGTGTTTGCCTAGTCTGAGTTAGATACAGAGGGTTTTAGCATTACAGGAGGCTGGGAAAGCTGAGAGGGGATTTGAAAAGCAGCTGGTGACTTAGATCAAAGTGACTCATGTTCCTGATTCCCTGAAATAACTGACCAAGTTTAGCCAATGTGTCCCCCTGCAAAGAAACCTGGAATCTTCTCCAGTCACTCCTTTTCTCCTAACTAATCAGTATGTTTTACCTGCAGATTAGCAACCAGTGATGCAGGATAAGGAAAAGCCTGCTTGGCCATGCCCACTAATGGCAGCTCCAAGCCTTTGCTGTTCCTACTGACTGGCTTCCCTGGCCTAGAATATCTTCACCCTTGGATTGCTGCTTCTATAAGCCTGATGTATTTCGTTGCTATTTGCGGTAACGGCACTGTCTTGGCCATCATACAAGCAGAACTGAGCCTGCACAAGCCCATGTACCTGTTTTTGGCCATGCTGGCTGTGACAGACCTGTGTCTGGCCGCCACCAGCCTGCCGACCATGCTCCGCCTGTTCTGGCTCGGCTTCCGAGCAGTCAGCTTCGGTGCTTGTGCCACTCAGATGTTCTTCATCCACTCTCTGTCCTGCGTGGAGTCTGGCATCCTGCTTGCCATGGCTTTCGACCGCTTTGTTGCCATCTCCAACCCGCTCAGATACTCCCTGATCCTGACTGGTTCCAGGATAGCCAAGACAGGGTTGTTGATGCTTTTCAGGGGTGTCCTCTTTGTGCTCCCAACCCCACTCCTCCTCCGACGGCTGCGGTACTGCAGGGCGAATGCTCTCTCCCACTCATTCTGCGTGCACCAGGACATGATGAAGCTCGCCTGCTCAGACAGGAGAGTCAACATCATTTATGGCCTCTTTGCAGTCCTGTCCACGTTTGGCATCGACGCACTGCTCATCCTTCTATCCTATCTCGTCATCATGAAGACAGTCTTGAACATCGCCTCTGGGGAGGAGCGCCTCCGGGCTCTCGACACCTGCGTTTCCCACCTCTGTGCTGTTCTGATTTTCTACATCCCCCTCATAGGACTGACCATTATCCACCGGTTTGGGGAGCATGCCTCCCCGATGGTGCACATCCTTATGGGCTTCACCTATGTCCTCATCCCCCCCATGCTGAATCCCATTGTGTACAGCATCAAAATAACCCAGATCCGGCAAAGGATCCTGAAGAGACTGCACAGCAGCACAGCACTGTGCCCATGTTGACCACAGCCAAGGAAGAGCGGAAAGAAGAGGCCCTTCTTCTGGCCAAGGGGTGGGTGCAATTTGTGTTGTGATTTAATGAGCCATGAACACTGGCAGCCAGCTTCTAGCCATCCCCACTAGCCCTGTGACCCTGCTACCTTGTGCACCATCTCCTCCAGAGATGTACTAGCAGAAAAATGTACAAGGGACATGCACAGGTACATACCAGGCTCAGATTCCCATGGGCTTAGGACAAATGTTTTACTGGGTGAATCTCCAGGGTGAGGAGTTGTGGTGTAGTTGTGTTATAAAGTATTGTTCAGTGGGGATTTTCCTCTGGGCTGACGGCCTCGGTCTCTCTATTTGCACTTTCAGTTCTGGATATCAGTACAAACATATATGGTATGGGCACCTTCATCTAAAAATAAAACAACACAAAAGCCATCTCCCATGTGACTCTGACTTTTTGTTTCTGTCCTCGCCATCATGCACAGCATTCGTTGTTTGCTCCCGATTATTAAGCAGAAAGGTTCATAACAAAACAAGACAAACTGAATAGGAACAGTTTATCTTAAATTTCAGCTCCACTGTGAGATGCAGGTGCAGTTGCTGACTGCACCTAGTGAAAGGTTCCTTGTGTGAGGAATGTGACACCTCTACCAAAGCCTGAGATGTAGCCATATGCACTGCTCTCACTTCCTGTGCAGCCCCCCACACCCTGGTGAAGTCCCCTTTTGTGGGAGGATTAGGTTTTTGCTCCAGGAATGACTGTTCAGCTGGGCTGGGGATGGATTTGGGCCCTGGCTGAGGTTGGTAAGAGTGCATACTCAAGA